GTCTACTTGGGTTTAAGTAAATATCATTTACTAGCCAAAATTTTCCAAAAATTTTAAATTGGATGTTGAGCGCCATATATCTCTTCTCATTTATTATTACTAACAAAACTTCTAACGAAATATTAATTTTAGACTAATAATACTAACAAAACATTATAACGAGCCACATAATACATGTCTATAGGTCATTTTCGCCCCGCGACAACACGCGGCATCTCCACCTAGTATATATTTAAATTCGAATAAGATCTGCAAAACAGTTTGGCAGTATGCATATTCTGGGTAGGCAACATATTTTAATTTGTGCCCACGAACTTAGCTTCACGTAGTTAAAGTTTGGGAATCCCATGCATTGGCCCACGTGTCTCCATGAGGCAACCAATTAACACTGCTGCTGCGCCACGACTCAGGAGAATCTGAATTTGCAACGACAAAATTCGGGCAAATGGGTGTGGGTTTACTGACTCCTGCCGAGAAAATTCCGGCGCCAATATGGTTTTTATGATAGAATAGAATTAATCTGCCCTACCGGCCGTAGGGGCGGGGCGACATCCATGGGATTAATTAGCAAGTGGGAGTAATTAATTAGATATCCAGAGTAATAATGTAATATGGTTTAATTATCACTGACAACGTAGAGGGATCATGTTCATGATATGCGGTGGTCAACCCGTTGGAATTCTAAGCCATCATTAATACTGCTGTGATTTATTTGCATATACCCCCTTTTGGCTTCCAAAGTCTTGCGCGCTGGTCAACTTATTGAGTTTAATATGTGTTAATTAGTCAACTATTAAGGACCTAATTAACAAGATACAGGAGGGCATTCCCTTGGTTTCTCCCTATGTTGACTAGAAGGGGTGGATCTATAGGGCTAGGGAAGGGGTGCCGTCCAACGCCCCCTCCGCTCGAAAATTTTGTGAACGACCTTCATTTTTTCGGTACAAAATAATTTAATTTGAGACTTCCGACACAGCTCTATTATAAGCGACACACCTTCAATATACGACAATAGTTTTAACGTTATAAAGTTTTATTCATCATAATTATTAATTAACAATAATAAGTAAAATCAAATAAGCATGCTTGTTTAAAGTAACCCACAATCCAATTTAATTAACTTGTCAATTTGTAGTTACCAGGTGAATTGCGTAGACTTATGAGAGATTGTGGTATTTGATTTTGGTTAATTTGGTAGAACTAGAGAAAAAAATGCTAATGATATTACTTTAGGCATACTTTGTTTTGTCTAAAATCGCCAACTGGTAGATCATGGTTTACTATATTTGATTGTAAACTAATTTATTTTAACTTTGTGTATAAAAAAAAATGTTTGATTTGCAACATAAGCGATGAATGTATTTTTTTTTAAATATGGATATGAAAAATCGTTATAATTCGTAGTAAACGGTCGTTGTCATAATCGAAAAGACTCCCAGTCAAGGCCATTAACATTATTGAGAATGTACATTTTAAACTGCTTTGAAGATTTACTGACCAATCCCCCATTAATATATGGTAGAGTTTTGTGTAATTTTCTCCATTTCAAATTTTCTGTAACAAGAGTGAAAGTAGGAAGCATTTTTGTCTTTACAATTATTTATTTATTTCAAATAAAAAATATCAATATCAAGATTTGAACCTAGATCTCTTTAAACAAGGACAACAATCATAACCAACTACACTAAACGAATTTGTTGTTTCTATTTGATACAAAACATACACTAAACTCTGGAAAGTTAATGACTTTTACATCATGATCAACAAGCCCACTAAGTCTACAATATTTATTTTTATGGTGCTTAATACTTCCCCCATTAATGTATGGTAGAGTTTTGTGTAATTTTCTCCATTTCAAATTTTCTGTAACGAGAGTGAAAGTAGGAAGGACATTTTTGTCTTTACAATTATTTATTTATTTCAAATAAAAATAAAAATATCAAGATTTGAACCCAGATCTCTTCAAACAAGGACAACAATCATAACCAACTACACTAAACGAATTTGTTGTTTCTATTTGATACAAACATACACTAAACTCTGGAAAGTTAATGACTTTTACATCATGATCAACAAGCCCACTAAGTCTACAATATTTATTTTTATGGTGCTTAATACTTCAATTTCCATAGTAGAGTTTCATGTAATTTTATCCATTTTAAAATTCATGCTCTTCTTAATTTTTGCTTAGGTTAATTTGTAATTGGCTAACATGGAAGAAACTATTTCTTTTACTACGTGTTGTGTCATTGTATTTTTAATTTAAAATTAAATTTTATACTTTTTTATCTTTCTTCTTATCTCTTTATAACTTCCTCCGAAAGTCCCTCCATCGTGCAAAAATTTGGCCCTTTCACTTCCCAGTACAAGAACGCATTTGAAAATTAATCTTCCGGTTTCTCTTGGCACGACAGTTTTATTTTTGGGATTTAAGCTAGGCAAATAGAAAATTTCAAATATGATATCAATCCATGGCGAATAGAATGGAGTTCAATCAAGTAGTTATGAATTTAAACTTGGAGTAGAAGAGTTGGAATTGAGTTTGAGAATGGAAGTGGTGGGGGGGGGGGGGGGGGGGGGGAAGAAATTGTGTTTGAATTTGGTAGCAGGTAAAGTTCAACTGCAACAGGTGAAGGCAGAGAAGAGGGAGTTGGAGAGGGTAGTGAATGAATTGAGGTGGGTGTTGAAAGACATGGAAGAGAAACTGTGGAGCAGTTAAAGAGAGAGAAGTGAGAGATGATGAGGATAATAATGAAAATGGAGAGGTTATGGAAGGGCATGGAAGTGGACTAAAGCAGGTGAAGGCAGTCAAGGGGGAGATGAACATATTGATGGAATTGGAGATGAGTGTTGGTTTTAGCGAACTTATTACAAGTGCCCCGAGGAAATGAAGTTGTTTGGTTGAAACATATGCCTCTTGAGATTAAAGATAGAGTGGATAAAAATTTGGTCGTTCAACGGAGAGTGGTGGCTATTGGCTCTTTAGGTCCTATTTATATCTTATACGAGAAATCATTGATTTACTGAATTAGGTCGATTCTTTATTCAACCTACTGAAACTTATAGAAAATGAGTATCTAATTTTGTGTCTTATGACTTTGATCAAGTCTATTAGTATATTGGAGATAACCCTAATTTTGTCCTTTGCTCTCAAGTTTTGATGGTTCCCTCTTAGTTTAGTTTGTAGTATATAGTTGACTTGAACCAACAACTCTCAATTTCTTTTTTATTAGTGGCATGGTGTTCCTAAAAGAAGAGCATTGAAGCCTTTATGTAGGATTGTGAGGTATTAGATTCAGTTTCAAACTATATATGGGCCGTGTGGTAATTCCAGTGAGCTTTTATATTCTATCTTTCTTGACAATTAACTAACCAATATAATATTATCATTATGAAAATGAAATCAATGATACATTTTTATATTTTATATTCTTAAAAGATGATGGTATTTCTTCGAGTGTTCAACCTATATATTATTTCTTTATGTATCATCTCATTCGAAAGATTATCAAAAAAATTAAACAGGTTGATAGACTTAAACGTAACATAAAATTATAAATAATCAAATATGAACATTCCGACTAACGGGCCGAGTTATAAGCTAGTAGTTAAGAGACTAATATGAAAACTAATGGGAGGTGTTAAACCAAGAAAGTAGTTAATTGGAATACTGGATCTCATAGTTTTTATGATAGTGTATCCCTTCCCTGCTCAACTCAAGGAACAACAAAAATAAGATCACATATCATGGACTATGCGACATGCGTTACAGGCTTACAGCTTTGGGCTGCAGCTACAAAGCACATAGCAATGGTTAGGAAGTCCAATACGGTTTGGGCCTTTGGGCTGGTCTTTCTGACACATTCTCAATGCTAATTCCAATCACCTCTTTGCGGGCTGGAATTTTCGTACCTACGCCAAGAATGAGTGTTTTATTTTTTTTTTTGGGTAGAATTGTATTTTTTTTTCTTTAAATTGACTAGTGTGAGTGTTTTTTTATTTCATAAATAGATGCGTGTTAAATTCAAGATATTAAAGTTCTATATTCCACCAGTAATTGGTAGGGTATTTTGTATTTAAATTGTAGTTTAATCATGGTTCACCAATTTGATACTGGTAAAACTGTCTATCGGTTTCGAATTCGGTAGGCGGTTTTTTTTTTGGTCAGATCATCAGTACGATACAGTTTTGTAAACACTGGTTAAATTAGAGTGGAAAAATATCCACAAACCTCGTTAACTACCCTAACAAGACCTAATTAAATAGGATAAAACTCAAACTAACAGAGTTACTTGGTGGTATGGATGAAATTCAAACCTGAATATTATGATTAATGAGAAGACACGATATTCTTACCATCCAATCTAAACCTGGTCGATTATAAATGCATTTGTATATTTTTCTACAAATGATCATTCTCTCCCAATATATTTTCAATATTGTAATACATTCATAACATCTTATGAATTCTGTTTCTTTCTTATTATTTCTCTCAAAATGGGTCTTATAATTGCAACTATTGAACTTGTATAATGTGAATAAGCCCACAGTTAGTAATTTTACAGCTTAATGATCTGAATCCAAATAGAAATGAGTATGATTTTGATTTTCCGAACCTTATACATATATGAATACAGATAAAATCATAACTACTTAAGATAGAGTAATGAATATTCAATATCCAGCAGTGAACCGAATTGGGCCAATTGGCATGCCTGCGTTGGATTGAGTAAAACTTGCTGAAATTTGGTGGTGAAAAAATGAACTATTCAGTGTTGAAAAGTTAGTGTAACAAATGAACTTGTAGGTCGTTACAACAACACGAGATATGAATCCATTAAAATAGAATTTCGCCACTTGTTGCACCCTTGGCTGAAGGTTTCATGGTAATTAGGCTTGCTCGGCTAAAAGGAAAGAGGAAGTAAGAAGAAGAAGAAGAATAAATTAAAGGTCCACGAGATCTCCAATTGAGTAACAGCAGCTCGGTGTTTTGCAAGGTGACCATTAATCATAATTTCTTCTTACATTACTAGCATATACAACATTATCAAAAGGGGCTAAAGGACCCAACGAAAAATAAAACAGTATAACCATATTTCTCTCCTACAAGATCTTAATGGTTCTGTTTTCTAGCATTGTTGGCGTAGTAGTCTCCATAGCCGTCGTCTTCCACTCCACGCTCACCATTCCCTCCGTTTCGAAGGTATCTGTAGTAGATGTACTGCAAGATTATCTGTTAATCACCATTGTTAAGGATGATCCAAGTCATAATGATATCGTTAGTTTTGTCATTTTCAGTCTTAAACTCGAAACAGTTACTCGAGTAACTCGATCATTAGAGTTGTAGATAAAGAAGGATACGAATAAGTCGAGGACGACGCAGACAGCAGCATCCAGCAGCCATGGCAGGTTGGCTTTGATGCTGTCCCACTCTGTTGTTCTAACCACAATGCTGCCCACACACATACAGGGAAACTCTCAGTTAGCTGTTAACAAGATTGCAGTGAAGATGACAGAAATAGTGGGAATAGAATAACTTTTTTTTTTTTTTTTACCTCAGAACATAGGTTAGATTGGCTATCAATGCAAAGATAAACATCAGAGGATTCAATCCCTGTTCAAAGCAATCAAGTCAGCTCAAATTAAGAGAACAAAGGATTGTAATTTTTTGCTGCACAGAAGATTAGAGAAAGGGTAAAAATGAGAGACTCACATCCACACTTCCTCTTTTGATCTGCAGACAAATGGGAGGGAGAAGATGTGGTTAATTAGACTCATGATTGTAGATTAGAACTGAAACATTAACCAAGATAACGATTGAAATGATAAGCTTACATTGAGCCATATTTGCGGGACTCTGCCACCCATGTAAATGGCAGCCATCAGCCACCCAAGCCACTGACCATATGCATTGTGCTCCATTCCAACTTCCTGCACAAACACATACCGAAACATTTCGTATAATGTACCATACGAAACAACACCTTCATCCGCACAAGAAAGTGTTCGATCCATACTTGCAGTAGCTTCCTCCCAGTGAGTCCAATGGTAGCTTGCAGCAGAGCATTGCCGTGTGATGGCAGGTTAAGCGATGTGGCCAAAAATGTTCCATAACCCACCTGAAATTTGTCACCATGTATGATTCAGTTAACGAATGAGCTGACAACTGCAAATTTTTTGAATGAATTAAGGGTGGAAAACTATGAGAGATTTACAGATCGTGGAATCGCCCTAGGCTGACTAGTTGAGATAGTAGAAGCATCTCTGGCTTCATCGTCTGAGGACGAGTCATCGTCAATCAGCCTCACGGCTGAAGGGCCGCTTCTAGCCGGCCTGAGGAAAGCCTTAATTGGAGGGGTAGCACTGCCTGCTAGTGACCTTGCTGACCTGCAGAACAATCGAATAGAGTTGTCATTAGTCTTCTCTTATGATCAAATCACATAAAAGACACAGGTGATCATGAACTTACGTGTAGTAAAATTCTCTGCGAACAGGGACAGATCGAGTGGGAATCGGGATGCCTGGATCAGTGGCCGGCTTTGATGGCCTCAATGGCTTCTTTTCATCATCTTCTTCATCAACCTAATGAGTAATATAGTATGCACACATCAAAGGCGACGTTTACTTGAGAAGCAAGCAAACTCAGCATTACATTTCTATAGTTCCTATGTATGACCAGAGTTCGATATAAGATGATTAGAAACAAATTTTGATTAAGATGTCACGATAACGATTAAGCCAACAGCGATGAGGGAACGACTAAAACAGGTTGAGAAGAGTTAATACGGTTTGGTGAGACTGTTGTTGCTGCTTGTGGCGGCATTTCCACCATGAGTAGACGTAATCGTAGTAGAGCCCCTGTAACACCAGGATCACTGTGCTTGTTGTGTAGAGCTGTTGTCAATGGCAAAATCAAAACAAAGCAAAAAATTGTAAGAAAGAAAAGAAATTTAAGAGAAATAAAGAAAATTTGGCTTCTTTGAATCGTGATGCTCAAGTCTATTTATTTATTTGTTGGGCCCAGTCAAATTGGAGCCTGTACTTGGTGTGAGACGGATTTGGACTGGAGCGCGGGACCATTGCTTGCCAGTCCAAATCCACAGAGCATGCAACTTGGGCTATATAAACAACTTCAGACTCCAGCCAATTACTAAATTTTTGGTGAAAATATAAAAGTGGGGGTAAACAGTAAAATACTTAACTAAATGGATTCATTGTTTATTCTAATTAAACTTCCCAAAAATATCTGATTTTATCTTACTAATATTAGTTTATTAGTTTAGTTCACTAATAAGGAGACAATTTCACCAAAGCAAAAGGTAATTAAATTCGAATAGATCTTTGATCCAAGCAAGGGAGGCATGCCTCCAAATTATAGTAACTTTTCAGCTTCACAATAGTGAAAAAATAATCACTATTTACCGAATCCACCACAAAGAAGGAAATTTTGGTTTAAAAAAAGCACATTCTTAGTTTCTTACCAAGTTCACTAATTAACTAAAGGGAATTATTATTAAAATAATATGCCTAAAACTAAGCATGTGTTGAGCTTAAAAGGGTTAATTATTAGTAGTATTTAATAGCGGAAACAGAGGTTAGGGTCAAAGTAATTAGATTCTTTTCTCCAACTAATCTCCTATTAATATGAATGATAGTAATCCCTAGCAGCCTAATTAATACTGAATCTGAAGCAGTAAAAGCCGAATCTTAGAAACTATCAAAACACACTTACCACAGCAGTGTAGTACTGAGTCGGCAACTGCAAATTAACAAAGAAGGAAAATCAGAATAAAATATTTGGCGATGGAGAGAAAAGGAACAGCAAATATTATACTATTTATATGCAAGCTGACAATGCACTGAAAAGGTTTGAGATAGAGTGGGTGTGCATATCCAGTAATCCACCACAACAGCCGCCCAGCTCCGGCCACCGGACCGGATAACTTCTGCCCGCCGCCCAACAAACACGGCGGCTGCGGCAACAAGAAAACAACTTTCTAGCTAGCTAGCTAGTAATATTCCAACTCACCGTTGCAGGCTCCAGAAGGCAACCCACCAGATTGAAAATGTCCCTGCACCATCCACAACCCAACAAACAATCGTATTTTTAGTTCCTGAATAAAATTTTCCAATCGAGTTTGAAACCGGTTGGATGAGATAATAACCGACCCGGCGACCCAGGTGAGGAGGAAGGCGAGGGAGACGCCGTGGCTGGATTTGGAGCGGAAGTTGGTGACGATCTGCGGGATCTCGGCCACGCCCCAGCAAACCAAGCTGGCCAGACCGAACCCGAACGAGAACTCGTCTTTGGTGTTGCAGAGGCAGTCTTTGAAGTATCTCTCCACCCACCAACCAATGCACTGCTTCTTCTTCTGCTCTTCCACGCAGTATCCCATTTGCCCCAAAAAAAAAAAACCTCTTCTTTTTTCCTCTCTCTCTCTCTCTCTCCTTCTCTTTCTGTCTCGCTCTAGAAAGACAAGAACTTGAGTTTGGGCTGCTGCGGTTGTAAGGAAGGGGGAAAAAAGGGAGGCATTTATTTATATTACATTATACGTGGTGGATGGAGGTAAACGGAAGGAAGGGAAAGCTTGCTGTCAATTTAGAATTTACCCTAACAAGGCCCATTAATTTTACCTTTTTAATCATCACCAACACCAACCATTTATTTTTAGATTAATTTTTTATGACTTCTTATTAAAATTATCTCTTTGTGGTTAATAAAAAAAATTCTCATCGAGTCATTGACCTCAAGTATAGTTTAAAAGTACTATGGGAAAAAAAAGTATATATATAACATTAAAAGTTAAAGACATGGCTTTCTATAAGAAAATACGTATATGGTTCAAGTATTTATACACTAGGATTTTAAGTCGGGTTTTGGCATAACTTGATTTCGACTAGTTTATAAATGGTTGGATTCTATTTTTGTTAATAAATTAAACATTCAATTATAATTTAAATTGGGTTCGAATTGAGATAATTGTGCTTAGTTCGATTTGGATCATCTTAATTGAAATAATATCCAGTACAATCTCGACTGTATTTGAATTGATTCGAATGAAAAATAACCAATCCACACTCAACTCGATAGATGCTCAATACCAAAATTTGTTAATTTATGCATAAACTTGACTTGTTGGCTTGAAATTTTCTTGGCCTCATTTTTTGTGACATTTCATTTTCTCTCTTGTTCTTTTGATGCATTTAGTATTAGATGTATATACAGCAAAACCAAGTTCAGTCACCACTATGATCTATGCTACACTAGGAGGAGATGTCAGAGAGTCTCCATACACTCCTTTGCAACGGCACTCTTTCACTTTGGAAGTCGCAACATATTCGAGATGGCACTCATTTATTATGAACTTATAAATAATTTTTCACAAAGATTGCTTTATGTTCCGTGTAACAAGACCACGAGGCGTGAAAATGAGGCTCAATAATACTGTGAGTGGAGAACATGACCAAGAATATTGTTGCATGTGTAAAAAAAACGTTAGTGAACAATGTTCCTTTTTTCACCAACTCATAAGGTTTTAATGGTGAAAAATATATCTAATCGTAGCTCATATACCTATCATTTAATTAAAGTAATTGTAACAAGTACAATGTAGGTTAGTTGGTTATAGGTTGTTTCTTTACTTCAAGGACCTAGGTTCAAATCTCAATAAAGATATTTTTTTATCTATATAGAAAATTGGGTGCACTTACAAAAATGATGTTTTTAAAATTGCTCTCAATCCAAAAAATTTGAAATGGAGAAAAAGTTTTCTCATTTCACCTTAAGAAATTGCATGGGTGCACTTACAAAAATGATGTTCTTAAAATTGCTCTCAATCCAAAAATTTGAAATGGAGAAAAAGTTTTCTCAGAAATTGCAACTAATACAATGTAACTTAATTAGTTGGTCATAAGCTGTTTCTTTACTACGGTGAAAAAGATTGACTATTGTATTGACGGCCAACTAAAAGAATTGGTCAAAATCTTTTCATCATATACTTCTTATTCGTTTCATTTTTCACTCGCCTTCCATAACGCTTTCTTTATTTCTTTCTTTGCCTTCTTCGTCTAACCCTATTTAGTATATTATTTTTATGTATTTCAATCACAAGTACGAAGGGGTCCATACACGACTCACCAATAGTCTAGAGAACTAATAACTGAACCATGAACCACTAACTTTTTCATATCAATGTCGAGTTCAATTAAAAATAATAATATATGGTTATTACTTATTAGAAAGTCGTTATTTTCCACTATGGGATTGAAAGCGTGAAATATTAAACGAGTTCCCGTTTGTATTACTTTTGCTTCTCTCTAGAGTGTTTTCTTTTTCACCCGGGTTAGAATTTTCAACAATTATACATGGAATATTTGGCTAGGTATCTACACATATCAAATAAATAGTTTCCGATTTTCTATAAAAAAAGTAAATAATTATCATCTTAAATACAATACCATAAAAAGAGTTAAGAAGTGAAAAAAAGACAATATTGTAAGTGGAGAACAAGACTAATTAGACATTTGTGGATGTGGATGATTCAAGAGAAGAGTCTTAAAACAAGATAGATAATTGTTTATCTCGTTTGTCTGAGGATGTTAAATTGTTGCATGTATGTGTAAAAAACATTGTGAATGCTGTTCTTTTTTTGACCGAATCACAATGTTTTAGTAGTGAAAAAAAGATCTAATGTAGCTCATAATCAGCACATACCACATTAATTTGTTGATATACTTTTGTAACGACGCTCATCTTTGTCTGCATTAATGATAGCGGTATGAATATTAACAGCAAGGAATGGATGATTTATAGCTTTCATTATATTAATCATTACGAAGTTTTATTATGTTGTTGGTTATTTGGGTGTATGGGTAGAGTAATGAATAGTTTTGGGAAATTATTTGTAAGATAATTGGAAAAAGTTGGTTTATTAGTAGGATTGATGAGGGAGGGGCCAAAATTAGGGTCAATTTTGGAACAGTTGGTTTATATTGTTATGTAATTTAAATTTGAAAGTAATTAAGTAAATCATCGAAATTGTCGAATTTTCAAATCGGTCAAATCTCCTTTCTCATTCTATTTTCAAATTTTCATCTCTTCCTCAAATAATTCCATCCTTATTTTTCTCTCAATCGTACTTCATACACTAAATTCCTCCACATTTAAAAAACAATAGTCAGTACACATGACTCGATCTATAATTCATGGATCATGTATTTTTGTCATACAATGATAACGTTTGTTGATATATTTTTCTAGCAAAGTTGCTGATGTTTGACAACATTCAAACATATTTTTGAATCCTAGGTATAACCTAGACTTACCACACCAAGTCACCAACCAATTCCTCAATCTTCACAAAAAATCGAAAAGAAAAGAAAAAATAACCCTCTTCCGGTCCCCATCCTTTCAGAAACAAGTTAATAAAAAGCAGCAAATGAAACCAATGTCGGACGCCGCATATTCTATCCTCTTATTGTAACGATTCTCTAAATTTTAATAATAGAAGCCCCAAATGAAGTTGGGGGCCCTGCATTTCCCTTTCACTTATTACTGAAAATCGTTTGGCAATTACCGAGGCCGTATAAATGGCATAATAAAAAATCATCCTAAACGCATAAACAACTTATTCATATGTTTTATTTTATTTATACAAGATTTATTTACGACTTATCATCATCTCTCGAAACACACTAATTATAGCTAGCTTGTTGTTACAATATATGGGTGATCGACAAAGCAACGATTACTAATGCAATTTGTACTAGCTAGCTACGTTCATGGACAGGAAAGAGTGTCGGATCACACTAGTTTTTATGGAAGAGAACAAATTCAGAGCCTTTGAAGGTATATAAAACGTCGCAATAACTATCCGACGACGTACCACTAGATAAACAGAGTCAAGATATTCCAGCGCTTGTTTATAGCGATCTGACCCATGTACTCGTATAAATTACAAGATCTTTCTTCATCGTGGTTAACCGGATATAATGCTTAAGTAGGGTAAATATAAGGGTTATGTAGAAAATGGTAAAAAAAAAAAAATGTTCCTGCATTATTTCACCGTAAGGTTAAATTTTGTACCAGCTGGTTCTAGAACCCTATGGAAATACATTTGTACCACCTGGATAGGATATTCTAGGGATTGAACCATATGCTCTCCATTGGTCACTCCGAATGATAAATAACTCAGACGTAGTACTGCACTGGAAACAGTACGTAGTACTAACCAACCAGTAGCAATTATAGTAAACCTGGAAACATGACAACAAAATGTTGACATGCTGCTTGGAAACAGATAAAAACAATTTAAAAAAGAAGCTGTTGATTGGGCTTACGAAGCTGCAGGGGACGGTTATCGCGATTGGTTCTTACTTCGGTTAAAGAGGAAAAAAATGTAGTCACGATTTTATTGTTCCTCTTTGCATTCCGTGGATGAATTCCTATATATCAGCATTTTACGTTTCTTACTAGGCCTTGATAACAAACGTGTATGTATGTGGATAATTATTTTTACTTTTGCAAACTTAAACTAGTTAAACTCCCTTTGCCTTTCCTTTTTTTATTTTTGTAATTCAGTTCACGGAACATTACTGTTAGAGAGTGGTATAAGATTCAGCAGAACATTCTCCTAACAACTCGAGTTATTGGGACCAACTGGTTCTTGACATGGTATCAGAGCTGGTTTGGCCAAATGGTCGTGTGTTCGAATCTCCACGACCCCCAATATTAACAATTGATTAAAGCGCAAGTTATGGTGGGAGTTATTGAGACCAACTGGTTCTTGACAATTACAACTTAATTACAAGGATGAATTTCGGAAGTAACTGAAGGTCATTTCAAATTGGAGATTATGGCAGTTGTGATCTTCCATCAACTTGACTCACCCCTTGATCTTTATGAAAATTGTCAGTAATATTTCCAAGTTCTGTTTATATCGAATTTACAAGTTACAAGAGTAAATGAATTCGGATAATTAAGAGTTGTTGTGTTTATTTCTCGAACGTATTTAAACTCGTCTTTTAACACTTGATTCAAGCCATTTTGAGGGGATCACTATCTCAAATTTCTCATTTTCTTACGTGACCAAGATCCATATATGGAAAGAATACTTGATCAAAAGGTAATGTATCCAAATGAGAATTGAATCGAAGCCCACCATAATTAACAAGAACAAAATCGTACAGCTAAAAAGCATAATCATAGAGGAGTTGTCTCAAGGGGGATCATGAGGTCACTCTTTCTTCTCTGTGGGTTCACTTTTAAACGACTTGCACATGGAAGCATACATGGGGGAAGGTTCAATCATTTCGTTGAAAGAAGCAGCAAAACAAAGAAGAAGAAAAAAAAAAAGGAGAGGATATGCATTTATATATTATCACAGGTTAATAAAGTGACCATCGTCCTCTGATTGGCAGACAAAATCCTAATTATTGTAATCACTGAATTAATAAGGGCCGTGAATGATAATTGATAAGCCAGTAGTGGAGTTTTTGGGTGATGAGTTGGAGAGATGAGAATATAACACCGCAGCAGCTGCAGCTCTCACTTTCGCCAAACTCCAACTCACACATTCTCAGTTTGCTTTCTTCATTCACCCGCAGCTGGTTTGGTTTTCTCCCACTGAAGTTACAGTTGTTGCGTTGCGTAACCAAATTCGAGCCCAAAACGAAAACCCCCAAGCGCTAACGGATATGGTATGACATGAATGTGCAGACTGGGTCAGGCTGGCTTTTAGGCCACGTACAGAGTTGATGGCCGTGTCACAAGTCACAACATGAACCCAATAAATGTTGTGAGTTATGCTATATGCGTATGATTTATTAGGAACAATGGCAGAGACAAAATACTCGTACTCGCTCGTTTAGGACGCGGTGGCATAAATGAACAACATATTTTGTATTCGCCTCGAATTGTATTACATCACACATTTCTCTATAAATACGACTTATACCATGGCACTGATCAAGACTAACGGGTCGTTTGCTTCATGTATTTGAAAAATGAAGGTTTTGGAAATCCATGGACTTATGAAGGTTTTAGATCCATTATGGACTTTTAAAAATCCATTGTTTGTTTCATGGATTTCATGATGGATTTTGTTTAATGAAATTGTAAATATTAAGTGAAATTGACCTTATTGCCCCTATCTATAATCTTACAACGAAAGAAGACTCCAAATGTGCAACATATCATCATTAATCAAGCAAATGGTTCATTCTTTGTGTCGGAGGCTGCATTGGAAGGACAAGTGTCGGGGGAGATAAATACTGAACATTAATTGCAAGTTTGAATTGATCTCCATTATAGTAAGCAAAGCATAACATAAATCAATTGTGGCGATTACTAGAAGAACATTCTTTTAGCAAGCAAAGCATAACATAAATCAATGGTTGTGATTACTCAAAGGACATCAAGAATGTTGTTTGCTGGAAGTAGAAGGAAAAAAAAATGGGAGGATGGCAATGGTGGTGATGTTGGGGTTCTTCGTGCAAGCATTTGTGACTCATAAGGGTCCAATTGGTGACTCACCTCGCCACCCCATTTCACAATATAATCATTCATGCCTCTGTAGCCGTCACAAAACACCTTGTATGCCATATATGTAGAAATTGAAGTAGGAGGGTAGATTGGCCATTTATATAAAAAGTGAGGACAAACAAGTAAAATACCATCATGGATTTTAATCCATCACCCAATTCCCACCTCCATAGCTAGTTTTCCAAATCCGTGGGGTCCACGGATTTGGACCTCAAAAGTGTATGGGCCCCATGGATTTACACTCCCTAACTCTTTCAAGCAAACAATGGACTTTTGTCAAAATCCATGAAGCATGCAAATCCATGAAGCATGCAAATCCATCAACAAAACCCTCAAGCAAACGAACCCTAAGTCTCCCAGTTTTTGCATTGATATAAGGGCATTCTATCTGTACACCCTGAGGACAAACTAACATAAACGTTATTGTATCAAGTGCAATATGACTTATGAGAACAGATGAGAGTGAATATCCATTATCCGGTACCTTATCATAAAAGAAACACGAGCATTACAATCTAGTGAAGCCCTTCTTTCCCCCAAATATTTGAATCAAAATATGATTTATGCTAGACCTTGATCAATGCGAATTTCATGAATATGATGAGATAAGACGTATAGAAATGTGGTCATTGATACTGGTGGTCAAGATAATAGTTTTGGAGTCATTCTTGCGGAAGTTTGTGGTCCGCTGGAAAATTTTCATGGTCTTATGTATGATTTGTAGATCGGAATAGCAATTGGATAGCCCATTTTTGTGGTTAGAAAAGCTCTTTCTTTGTATCCGGCCACATATGACTCTTTTAATTACCATTCGTGGTTATATACCAGAATGTAATTTATTCGATCTATTTTTAATCAATATAAGATTATCATTTGTAAAAAAAAGTATAGAAATGTATGTTTCTTCTTTATTTATGCCAGACCTTGATTTATGCTACGCCTTACGCTCCTTACTCCCTGGGCCTTGCTCTCATTTTTTTAGATTATTTTTCTTATTTATTTTCTTATTAAGTAGCATTGTTGCTACTAGTCGTCACTGCAAGTGTGTGAAATAGTATTTTTTATTTGCAATGAATTACATGAAGAATACTCTTCGGAGTCGAATGGGTGATGATATCAAGAATGATTTTTTGGTAGGATACAATGAGAGTGACGTTCTTGATAGTTAAAATGATGAATGTATTTTACAAACTTTAAAATTTGAGAACCCATTGTTGGTCACTATAGTAAATTAATACGGTCCTTTTTTTAGTCGGAACCCCCTTACCTAAATTTTTGGCTACATCACTGACCGCGAGTCGGGGTGTGAGGTGATACCTTTGTTAAGAACTATTTGATCTCAATCATTTGAGTTGTTGGGAAAGGTTCCATTATAAGTTTTATATCGCATTACCACATACTAGTACGCCCCCTCAAACAAAAGTCACTCTCAAAAGGGTTTAAAGTTTGCACAAATCCAAATATCATGTGGTTAACAAATGTGGTCGTGGACATTCGAACACAATACTTTTCGAATATAAAGGTGCTCTGATATCATATTAACAACCCGTTAATCCTAATAACTAAAGCTGTGAATTTTTTTTTTTCCATGTAACAACTTTTACTTAGTCGAAATGGCGGGTTGAAATTTTTTCACATCAGCAGTTCTACCTAAACCTTTTGTGTTTCCTCTTGAATTGCTCGAGTTTGAGTTCGTAATAAAAACAACAGAGTATCCCCATATAGTTGTGCTTGCTGAGATAAAAGAAGCCAGGCAGGGATAATTTTGGTTTGTCAGGTCATGAAAGATTGAACTTGGACTTGTTTCATGGGCATGGTTCCGAATGTCTATCTACCAATTTTCCTGCAGTTTGGATATAGCTAGGCAGATCCATCGCGGTGATGTACTATGACCCGACCTTGTTATGATCTCATTTTTGTATGTCGAGTTTTAGTGTTGCTCGACCAACTGGATCAGCAAACGGAAGTGAACTATTGCGTTGGGAATTCCACCACTTGTATCTAACCAACAGCTATGACCAGATGCATCAGTACAAGGTATACCCACAATGATTATTGTTTGTTTGTTGGTTGGTTTTTTTTTCAAATTGTGCAGTTGGATAATTCTGTTGTATCCATCCTTCAAACTCATCCAGGTTCATTTTCCTGGCACCTTCTAGATCGAAAGATCGAGATGTAGCATGCAGGAGACGGTAGGAATGACAATGGGGCAGGTCCGAGCCGGGTATCTCGTTAACCATACTGCGAGAGACACGGCGTCAGGGGCCGAGTAGGCCTAGGGGGAGGGGTATTTGGGTCATTTGAGTGTTGATGGGTAAAGAACTATTTAAGCTACAGTCTTTGTTATTTCGATTAATCAAGCATAATATCAGAATTCCCAAACCATAATTCATCTTCTCTTCTTCAATTCACATCTGAATTCTCAACCCTAATTCTTCTATTCTCATTCCTAAATTTTACTCAACTATCCGTGTTTGTCACAATTGATATCAGAGCCTCGTCGACATGAGTTCTACAGGACTCAAGGATGGGGACCAGGGGGCGCCGATCGAGACCCGCCTGCTGAACGTCATCGCACGGCTCGAGCGGGTGGCCGCGGGCCTGCGGCGAGGGACGGGTGCGGCGTAGGAGCTGGCCGCGAGTTCGGCTCCCTTGGCGGCGACAGAAGCGCCGTGGGAGGAGAAACAGGTCGCGGAGGCAGGGAGAGAACGCGGCACAGGCTTGCGGCAGCCGGCTGGCGATCGGGGAGAGCTGGTCGCGGGCTCGGCGTCCTTGGCGTCGGCAGCAGCTGCGGGGAGGAGGAAGAAGGCGACGCGGGTCAGGAGACCATCTGCGCCGTTGCCGCTATTGCGGCTGCTGGGTCGGCAAAGATGCGCTTCAAGGCGCAGGTCGGAGGGCCTCGTTGATAGCGGGGCCTCCCTCAACTTCGTGGGAGAAGAGTTTGGGCGCCGACTGCACACATCCCAGGTGGCCATAGCTCCTTTTGACGTGAAGGTCGCCAATTGAACACCGCTGCGGTGCACAGCGAAGCTGGAAGGGGTTTCCGTCAAGATCCAAGAGTTAGATGTTCCTCTTGACTTGTACGTGCTGGCGTTATAGGGGTTCGATGTGATCTTGGGCATGCCATGGCTCAAGAGTTTGGGCCCGGTGACTAGTGACTTGGTGAAAATGGTTATGCGATTCAAGTAGAGCGACAAAGATTGAGAGCTGCAGGGCATGACCACGACAACCGGCCCGGTCGAGTGCGGCGATCCGCAGCTGGAGGCCGACGTAGAGCTCGCTGTGCTTTGCTGGCCACTGGGATCTCACGATCAGTCGACGCTAGCCCCGGACTTACAGGCACTGTTAGACTGGTATGTAGAGACATAGTTATTTGGGAATCCAAACCAGCTGCCCCCAAAGCACCAGGTTGACCATCAGATTCGACTGAAGGAGGGCACAGACGCAGTTAACGTCCGACCCTACAGGTATGCTCACAGCCAGAAGGCCGAGATAGAGAGACAGGTGGAGGAAATGATGACCGCGGGACTAATTCGGGCGAGCTCCAGCCCGTTTTCCTCGCCTGTGCTGTTGGTGAAGAAGAAGGATGGTACCTGGAGGTTCTGTACAGATTATCGGGCCCTGAACACCGCTACTTTGCGTGATCGTTTCCCCATTCCCACTGTGAATGACATGCTAGACGAGCTAAGAGGAGCCCAGTACTTCACCAAGCTCGATTTGAGGGCCAAGTATCATTAGATACATATGCATGAGGAGGACGTTCCTAAGACGCCCTTTCGAACGCATAATGGTCATTATGAGTACCTCGTGATGCCCTTTGGACTCTGTAATGCACCATCGACGTTTTAGGCCGCAATGGACGATATTTTTTGCCCTTTGCTTCGCAGGTCAGTACTAGTGTTTTTTATGACATTCTGGTCTTCAGTAAGTCGTGGGAAGAGCATATGCAGAATTTGTAGGAGGTGTTTGAGATACTGCAAGGAAACCAGTTTTATGTGAAGGCATCTAAGTGTGTCTTCGGGGTCCAGTCAGTGGATTATCTGGGACATGTGATATCGGGCGAAGGAGTAAGGGTGGACCCGATAAAGATTCCATCCATGATGGACTGGCTAGTGCCGAAGTCGGGGTTTCCTCCGTCTCACAGGCTACTATCGACGGTTCGTGCAGGGGGTACAGTTTGATAGCGAGACCGTTAAATGCCATGTTGAAGAAAGGGGGATTCAGCTGGAATTCCGAGGCCGAGAGAGCTTTCAGCGAGCTCATGACCCGCTCTATCTGCGACTCTGGTCTTGGCCTTGCTGGATTTTTCTCAACCGTTCGACCTCAAGACTGACGCTTCTGGCTGGGGAATCAGTGCGGTTCTATCACAGGAGAGGCACCCTATCGCCTTCATGATACGTACTCTTCTTCCATCCAAGGAGGCTTGGTCCACGTATCAGAAGGAGATGCATGCTATCACATAAGCGGTCCAGATGTGGCAACCTTACCTGATCGGGTAGAAAATCCGCATCTACACTGATCACCAGAGTCTTAAGCATTTGATGGATCAGAGAGTATCCACTCCATACTAGTACAAGTGGGTGGTAAAACTGATGGGGTACGATTATGAGCTACACTACAGACCAGGTCCGATGAACAAGGCCGCGAATGCATTATCGAGAGTGAAGTCGGAGCCGCAAGTAGCGGCGGTGACCAAGCCAGTGGTGCAGTTCTGGGATGAGGTCAAGAAGGCGGTGGAGACGAGCCTGCATATGCTGGAACGCCGGGATATAGCCTTTAGTGTGACACCCGACAGCTATACGTTCCTACACAGGCTGGTGTTCCACCAGGGGCGAGTAGTGCTACCTTCAGCCACCTCCCTGACGACGACGGTGATGAAGGAATTCCACGATGCCCTGGTGGGAGGCCATTCCGGGTATGAGCGGACCTTGAGAAAGATCCGCAGTCAGTTGTATTGGCCGCAGATGACCCGCGAGGTCAAGGCCTGTTGCAGCCGCTGCCCGTGCCCGAAAGGGTCTAGGAGGACATCAGCATGAACTTCATAGTGGGATTACTACCATCTGGTGGGAAGACACTATTGCTCATAGTGGTGGATCAACTCACTAAATACGCACATTTCCTGGCCATGTCCCATCCTTACACCGCCAGGAGCGTTGCAGAGCCGTTTGTCTAAGGGGTCATCCGTCATCACGGGTTCCCTCGGTCGATAGTAAGTGATCGCGATGCACTGTTCTTTTGGAGATTCTGGAAGGAAGTGTTCGCCATGGTAAAAACGGAACTGAAGATGAGCTCGGCCTACCATCCGCAGACAGATGGATAGACAGAGGTGGTAAACAAAATATTGGAGCAATACTTGAGATGTTTCGCACATCAGCAACCGTGACGATGGCTGGTTATGCTACCTTGGGCGGAGCTGTGGTATAATACCACCTATAACGGTCTATTCAGATGTCTCCGTTCGAGGCCTTATATCGGAGGACGCCACCTGTTCTAGTCTGATACCCGTCCGGAGCGAGTGCGGTGGACATGGTCGATAGGTGGCTCGCTGATCGGGACGAGGCGCTGCGACAGTTGAAGGCGAATCTGGCCGCCTCCAGCAACCGGTTGAAGAAGCAGCGGATTCTGGGCAGCGAGAGGAAGAGTTCGCGGTGGGTGACTGGGTACTGCTCAGACTGCACCCAAACCGGCAGATAGGGGTGGGCAATGGACGGGTGGGGCGGATTTTGGTCTAAAATTGATCCACCCGTTTACTAGCGGGTTGGAATATATGTGACCCGCAATCAACCAACATACTTATGCGGGTTGGGTTGGGTGGGTGGCGAATGGGTGCGGTTGGGTCACGGGTTAACCCGCAAAAATAATTCTCCAACTAGCAATTAAGAAAATTGACTAACATTTATAATAACTTCATAGCAAATTAGTAAGATTGTATCAATAATTTGTGATTTTTATATAATTAATAATTTAATGTTTGTATCCCAATATTTAATGGATATTAACAATAATTTGCATACCAGTATCCAATATTCAGTGGATATTGCACAACACAATAACCAATAATAGTAGTCAAAACCATTCTTTATTCTTCACCTTTTGAAGTATATGGTCAGACTCTAGTGCAATTCGAAAATATGATGAATATTTGATACTATAAAAAACAACATTTTTCCATGTAAAAATAGGACGCGGGTCATACGGGTGACCCTCAATCCACCCACATAAGTACGGGTGGGAGATTTAACAATCCGCAATCCACCCACATCAATCACCCATTACATGCGGATCGGTTTATTTGTGGGCGGATCGATATCAATCCGCGGATTAACCACCCACGTGCCCACCCCTACCGGCAGACATCTGTGTTCAAGAGAGCTTACCAGAAGCTCGCTTCCCGGTATTTCGGGCCATATCAGATGATGGAGAGGATTGGGGCCGTAGCGTATCGACTGCAGCTGCCGGACACGGCCCGAATTCACCCTACATTTCATGTTTCACTCTTACGCAGGTATCGAGGAGTAGTGCCACAGGCGAAGCCACCGGAGCCACCGGTAAACGAGAATGGCGCGTTGGAGCTAGAGCTTGAGGTAGTGCTGGATATGCGTTGGCCACTACGAGGCAAGCGTCGCGTAGCGGAGAGCCTAATTTAGTGGAAGCATTTGGGGCCAGACGAGGCAACTTGGGAGGACACGGAGAGTATCAGGCAGACCTAGGGGCGGACCTATGTGTTGCTAAGGGGTGTCGTCCGACACCCATTCGCCCGAAAATTTTGTGAAGAACCTATATTTTTTTGCTACAAAAAAATTTAATACAAGATTTTCGACACCGCTTTAATAATTATAGCCGATACTCGTTCATTTAGCGACACCCTTCTTCAACAATCATGGGTTTGCCACTGGGAAGACCTATCCAGCGTTCGACCTTGAGGCCAAGCTCGGTCTCGAAGGGGAAGGGAGTGTGAGAGACACGGCGTCAGGGGCCGAGTCAGCCTAGGGGGAGGCGTATTTGGGTCATTCGAGTGTTGATGGGAGAAAGAACTATTTAAGCTATAGTCTTTTGTTATTTCGATTAATCAAGCATAATATCATAATTCCTAAACCCTAATTCCTCTTCTCTTCTTCAATTCCCATCTCAATTCTCAATTCTCAACCCTAAATCTTCTATTATCATCCCTAAATTCTACTCAACTATCCGTGTTTCTCACACATACCCACCCCGTGGCAGGTCGAGTCCAGGTCGGATAATTTATCATGGGACGCGGGTCGGGGCAAGTCGAACCAGCGAGTATGTAATTTATGTGGAAAACATTAGAATATTCGTTATTTTCATTAAAAGACCAAAAAAGAAACCATAATAATATGATAAAATGTAGTTAAATTATTGAAGAAATTGAGGTTTTCACTTATTTACAACTTTATTATAGCTAAAATATTAGGTAATAAGAGGAAAATCCTATGTAATTTGACTTAGATTATATGTAATATAGGCAAGAACAGGTAGAGAATGGGGCGGGGCAGGGCAGGTCGGGTCGAGTAGAGGTACCCATACCTGCCCCACCCCACCCCAAAACAGGCCTAACAGGTTGGGTAAAATGGGTCAGGTCGAAATTGCCATCCGTAGGAAACGGAAACCTCATAAAGCATACGGCAAGTTTGTTGAAGCACACCACAAATCTTATAAAAGCCAACCACAAGTTCCATCAAATATACCAAAAACCTCATAAAGCAGACCATGAGTTCGATCCCTGAAATAGAACAGAAATCTCATGAAGCAAACCACAAGTTTCCCGAAGCATACCAGAAACCTCATAATGCAAATCACAAGTTCCCTAAAAGATACAGAAAAATATATAGAACCACACTTGAACTCCTGAAGCAGACCAAAATAACAAAAACCTCACGAAGCAAACCAGAAACGTTATAAAGGATGACATGACAAGTAATAATAAAAATTATAATAGTGAACTAATATTTTTTAGAAGTAACCTGTTGATTTTTTTGTTTTACACAGGAAGAATTGTGGAGGTGAGGATGTATGGGTCGAGACTCCAAGTTTGCTGATTGCACTTGTCATAACTTTCTAAACAGTATGAAATGAGTTTCTTCAAAAGATAATATCATCGAGATAAATAAGAGCAACCATAAAAGTTTCACAACAAAGATTGGTAAACATTGAATGGCCAGCAAGTGAGGGAGCAAAACCAAACTCAACTATCGTAGGAGTAAACTTTATACACCAATTTGAGGCTGAAGGAGAAATGATGAGTTCAAGGACGCAAGATTCTGAAATCAGTGAGGCACTTTTGTCATGAATCAAAGGTTATGACTGCTAGATTGCAAAGAATAAGGCACCTATAATAAATAGAAACCAATAATAAGCTTATTTAAAGGGGAGGAACATTGTAGATAATAACTTAACCAAATAAGAAATAGTAAAAAACTATCATGAAAAATTTTACAGGTATAGGTTTTTGCATTTTTTGTACAACTTGAAATTGTACTTTTAACGTTATGGTACAACTTTAGATTGATATTCTTTCGTACAAATTTTTTATGGTACCTACAACTTGAACTTATACCTTTATGTGATGGTACAACTTCAATTTGTGAAGTTGTACCATAAAATAAGTGTACAAATTCCTTTATGGTACAACTTTAACTTATACATTTAACGTTATGGTACAACTTGAAATTGTACATTGAAGCACCAATGCTTTATAGCATAGTAAAAGTAGACACATAACATAGGATTTTGATTATGTTCATTGTGAGTTCATTTTCAGTGTGCTTGAGTTTATGAACGTTTCTAATTAAACGATTTGTCGAGTGGATCAAAGCGGCTGTGGAATTAGCCAAATTTAGTATCACTATTTAGTGGAGTTTGTATGGTATTTTTAGCTTAAATAAGTGTGAGACAATGTGATCCTATCTCCTCGTAACTTTTTACTATTGTCTTGAAAGTTCTAACGTAGTTATTACTTATGAGGTAAAGCAACAGAAGAGAGAACTCCCTTATCATTTAATATGGTAAATTAACTCATCTATGCTTTGCCGATAACCTTAGTTCTGATTTTCACAAAGCGGCCAACAAAACAATTTCACAGGAAAGTGTCAGACGAATAGTAGATCAGTTTTACAGGCTGTGTTGGACTAAAGTGTGACCCTGTAAAGTTTGAAGTGTTATTTGGGATGTCAGCTAAGCATGTGGATTTGTCTCATTCAGGATTCCAAGAAGGTAAGCCTGCTTGTACATTGTTTAGGGCTTCCCCTAGAGTCCGGTAAACTTTCTGGTTGGAATTGTAGTGCTTTAGTTGTAAAGGTCACTATTGGACTAATAAGATTTTGGGGAGCCAAAAAATCTATCCTATGCTGAAAGGGTCCGATTGATTTCATCTGTGCCATACCCAATAGTCTACGTTGTCGTCGAGCCAACGAAAATACAAAATGAGCCAACTTATACTCAGATGAGCCGCCGCCTCAAGGGCTTGTGGTATAATCCAGAAACTGATCCGGTCCGGTTTTTAGCATGGTCCATGAAATCGTACCGGAAAAGTAAGCGGTAGGGTATTTTATGGCAAAAACGTGGTTTAACCGTAGTTCAATCGTTAGTACCATTAAATACCGCCTATCGGTTTAGCCTCCGGTACCGGTATTTTGTGGTTGAACCGCCAGTACAATACGGTTTAATGGACCATGGTTTATAGGTTGGGAATTGGCGAGATGGAAACGTTGGTAAAAGGGGAATATGCGGATAGATATTGGAGGGATCCATCAATGAAACAAATGGGTACGTACATAGTGGTCTAATCTTTCTTTTTCTTGCTATTTTTTGTCTTCTTCTCCTGGCTTTTCACTCATTAAATTCCTTCTCTATTTTTTTGTGATGGTCGACGATGACAACATTATTAAATTTGATTGCTCTATCTATTGTGATAAAGACGGAGCAGCAGAGCAGACACGGCGACGATGCGCTGCATGCAACTCAACTACTTGGTGAATGACAGCCTTGTCCACGTGTACCCACCTCTTCTCTCTCTCCCTCCACATTAATCGAAAAGGTTACCGATTTATCGTTTTGCGGTTAATTCGTTGACAGTGGCATAGCAAGGATTTTATTCAAGGGGGTGCCATAAAAAAATTACATTTGCAGTCTCAGGTTTGATATCGGATAACTATATGAATCGGTCAAACTATCAAGATTTCACACTTTATATATCCCACCGAATAACCATTCACAATTTCACTTCACTAGATATGTGAAGGCTGATCAATCGTTTCATAGCATAAAATGTTATTAACTTTTGGATTGACAAATGATTGTAGCAAATCAAATCTATTTTCACAAGCAAATACATT